TCTCTCTCTCTCTCTCTCTCTCTCTCTCTCTCTCTCTCTCTCTCTTTCTCTCTCTCTCTCTCTCTCCCCCCCCAACTGTGGCGCTTGCGCGCAAGTATGTTTAAAACAGATAAAGAGTGCATGCAACATAGGCTTGTTACTTGAACAAGCATGTACATCTACAAGAGAATACGCGAAAATACACGACGCAATCATGCACATATTGTGAACAGGTATTTTAGCACCTACTCCTCGATCACAATTCCTGATCCGTACATCGTTTGTTCAAGCCGGCGATCATGTGTAGCCGTTAGATTTCACAATCTGCAACTGGTCGCAGTCAAAGCTGTCCTTAGTCGAGGAGGTGCTGAAATACTTGGCTTGTGATACCTTTGATTGGTCATCCACACACAAGTGAATCTTCCAGTATTGGCCTGGCCAACAAGTTAATCTCTTCTTTGCATCTTTTTGCTGTTATTGCCGTCGTTGTCGTTATTGCATCTATTGCCACTGAAGTCGCTGATTCCCCCCGTCAGCGTCGTTGTTGTTATGGACTGAGCGTCTATGATTTTCCTGTTGTGGCCCGGCACTGCAGGTTGCTTCGCAGGACCAGCGAAAGGTGTTTCAAAGGCCACCAAAGAATGTGCGGAAGGTAAGCTCTTCGCGGTGTTTGCGTAAATATCTCACTATGTTTGCGTAAATATCTTCGTAGATATTTACGTTCTTCGCGTTGACTGGATGTGTTTTTGGCACGAGCTCCGTTGGATCGCGGTTATGAAAGGGGGAGGGTTGGGTCTGCTCTCTCCTTTTTCGAAGCACAGCTGTAGGGATATGACTGCTTTTCTTGTGAGGAGCAGAAACCTGTTTCACCATTCATGGTAGTGATACTACCGTCGTGACCCAAATAGAGAACATGCCTGGTCATTATAGCTGTATGTACTATTTGGTGCAATTTTTCAGTCCAGATACGACAATAATTACCGGGCGTTCTGTTCGGGTGAAGACGGTAGTGAACAAATTTGTCTTTAGATTATCCACCCCTTTGGTAGTGTGAAAAGGGGGAGGGGGAGGGGGGGGGGAAGCGGTGTTAAAACCACGGCCCCTTAAGAGTAACTGTTAAACCACCAATACGTCCGAGCCTCTTCTTGCCGAGGCGGATTGAGGCGGATTCCCCCTGCCCGCCGAACTTCGCGGAAGCGCCGGTGTGTTTGTTTTTTTCTTTTTTCTTTTTCCCCAAAACCTTTTTGCTGGCTCTTCCAGCCATTTTGGTCTAGTAGTACCGGGCCTCCGAAGAACCTGCGGAATGTTTCATTTTTGATTCGCAAAGTTGCCTGGGAAAGGTGAGGGTGGTTTAACAGCAGCGACCCACATTTGTCATTTGTAAGGGGCAGTAAGGTCGAAGCCCCAAACTTGTCTCTGTATTGTCTGTGTACTCTTATTTTCTCTGTATTGGCGGATGCCTGAGTGTGGTGTTGTGTGTGTGTGTGTGTGTGTGTGTGTGTGTGTGTGTGTGTGTGTGTGTG